ATTGATAAAGAGAATATTTGCAGCTCAGCTTTGAACTGTAAGGTCCTTGCTGCTCTCTGTGGTTGGCTGGGTGGCTGGGTTTTTTGCAGACGTTTTACTACCCAGTTAGGTAACATCATCAGTGCTAGAAGGGAGTGGGACTTGTGGAGAGGAGGAGGAGAAGGAAGAAAAAGAGAAGGAAGAAAAAAAGAGGAGGAAGGGAGGAGGAGGAGGACAACTGTGGGGTCCTTGATGCTCTCTCTGAGCTTGGTGGTTTTCTTGCAGACATTTCTTGACCCAACTAGGTAACATCATCAGTGCTAGAAGGGAGTAGGGGTTGTGAAGAGGAGGAGGAGGAAGAAGAGGAAGGGAAAAAGGAGGAGGAGGAGGAGAACCAGGAAGAGGAGGAGGAAGGACTGTGAGGTCCTTGATGCTCTCTCTGAACTTGGTGGTTTTCTTGCAGACATTTCTTGACCCAACTAGGTAACATCATCAGTGCTAGAAGGGAGAAGGGGTTGTGAAGAGGAGGAGGAGAAGGAAGAAGAAGAGGAGAAGGAAGAAGAAAGGAGGAGGAAGGGGGGAGGAGGAGGACAACTGTGAGGTCCTTGATGCTCTCTCTGAACTTGGTGGTTTTCTTGCAGACATTTCTTGACCCAACTAGGTAACATCATCAGTGCTAGAAGGGAGTGGGGTTTGTGGAGAGGAGGAGGAGGGTTGTGAGGCCCTTGGTGCTCTCTGAGCTTCGTTGTTTTCTTGCAGCCGTTTCATGACCCAACTAGGTAACATCATCAGTGCTAGAAGAGAGTGGGGCTTGTGGACAGGAGGAGGAGGAGAAGGAAGAAAAAGAGGAGAAGGAAGAAGAAAAGAGGAGGAAGGGAGGAATCCAATTCTAAAGCCGAAGCCAATTAACACCCGGGGAGTCACTGGATAAGAGATGGGCAGCAAATAAATCCCATAAAGGGGAAACCAATTCGGCTGCTTCTTCCTTGAAATCGGAGCCGATCCGAGGATTTTGCTCCCAAACCAACTCAAGAATTCACACGATGACAAAACGTCCAATTTCAGCCGTCAGGAATTCCCACCCTCTGCGGGAACCTGGGGTGTTTTATTTCTCAGCTGGGAAACACACACACACACACACACAGGCCCTTTGGAGGGGACCCACCTGGCTCTCCTCTTTCGCACCCGGCGCTCGTGTTCTGCTTCCTCGTAGTAGTACTCGTTGTGGCTGTTGTCCCGCCTCCGGGCAGCTGCGGCAATAACAGCCCGCGATTGGCTGGTGGAGTTGTTGGTTGTGTTTTCTGGAGGGAGGGAGGGAGGAGGGAAGAGCTATGGAGTTATGGAGGCGCCTCTCAAAGGTCCTCAAACGGGGGGGGGATCATAGACACCCTCGTTCCAGCAGAGGGCTGGACTAGAAGACCTCCAAGGTCCCTTCCAGCCCTACGATTCTAAAACAGGAGTGTCCAAACTTGGGAACTTTAAGACTTGTGGATTTCAACTCCCAGCTGGCTGGGGAATTCTGGGAGTTGAAGTCCACAAGTCTTAAAGTTCTCAAGTTTGGACACCCTTGTTCTAAAGGTAGAATCTGTCGCTTCGCTAAATATTGGTGGAGAATAACATGCAAGCAACCCCCCCCCTTCCAAAAAAATCTTCCTGGGTCACCAAATTCTCTGTTTCATAGTCTAAATCAGCGTTTTTCAACCTTGGCAGCTGGGAGAATAACAGAGTGTTGGAAGGGACCTTGAAGGCCATCTAGTCCAACCCCCACCACCACCAACCCATCCAAGCAGGAGACCCTTACACCATTTCTGACAGATGGCAGCCCAACATTTGGACTTCAACTCCCAGAATTCCCCAGCCCGCTTTGACTTATAACCACAATTGAGATCAGAATTTCGGTCGCTATACAATGCCGTTCGTTCCTCAAGTCATTTTGTCAGATTCTATTTTACGACTGTCGTTAAGTGGTCCCCCCCACCAACTTAGCTCGCAGAAAACATGATAACCGTCGTAACTTTGGGGATGAGCCTGAAGTCGCTTTTTCAGAGGTCGTCGTAACTTCAAGCCATCGTTAAACGAAGGGTCGCAAGCCGAGACTTTAGTCCCACAGAATATGAATAAATCCCAAGGTGAACCCCCCAAAATCCAGTCCATGTTAAATCTGGAAACGGGGTGGGGAGAGAGGACTTGGTGGCTGGGGGATTCTGGGAGTTGAAGTCCACACATCTTCCAAGCAAAGTTTTTTTTTATTTTTTTGTTACATATTTAAAATTCTTTTATAAACAGAGTGTTGTTCGATTTCCCACCCCCTCTAACATTTTCACATATAATATAATTCACTTTACATTATACTTCCATTTCCCATTTTAGCCGCTTCTATTGTTTTCCAAAGTTTTTTTTTGTTTGTTACATGTTTAAAGTTATTTTTAAAGTCCACACAACTTCAAGTTGCCATGGTTCACACAAACACACACAAACAAACACACACACACACACACACACACACACACACACACACACACAGAGTCTAAAGCCATCAAGCAATCGACACTTCTACCCAGTTGGGGAGATCAGATGCCCATCTAAGCTACCTTTTAGAACAGTGTTTCTCAACCTTGGCGACTTTAAATCCTGTGGACAGCTCTGCTGACTGGGGGATTCTGGGAGTTGAAGTTCACAGGACTTAAAGTCGCCAAGGTTGAGAAACACTGATTTAGAAGAGAAGCGAGGCAGCAGGAGGATCCATGGCTGGGCTGGCACCCTGGATTGGCACTCAAGTGCTCACAGGCATCATCAGCACCGCCTGCCCCCCACCTCCTCCAACCCCCCTAAACCAGCTGGGATTGTCCCACAAGTAGTTGGAAACTCCGGAATTTGCATCGTACGACATCTAGAAGGCGCCATGCTTGGGATGTCAGCAGAATAACAGAGATGGAAGGGACCTTGGAGGTCTTCTACTCCAACCCTTTCCATTTCAGTGATGGAGGGAAGCCGTTCCAGTGGTTGATTGTT